ATAGCGTAAAGATTATTAAGGTTGTATAAGAATGCATCGGCGTATAATAGAAGCACAAATGTCTATTATTATTATTCATTGATGGCATTTTATAAATTAAAGTACAAAATTAAAATGTTAATAACTTCTTTAATTATTAATGATACGTCAAAATTCATTAAAAAATAAATCGTATATGAATCGTATTTCAAAAAAAAATGTTCCCATTTGAATTTTAAAAGTTACCCCTAAAATTTCCCCTTTTTAATTAATAAAAAAAAAAATTTATATCAAAATATTTTAGCTTATATGATTCAAAAAGGTTTTCACATAGGTCATTTTTTCATAATTTAAATATATCATGCTGAAATCTGCTGTCACATGAAATTTGGAACACCCTGTATAAGAAAATTAAGACAATTTTTGGCGGTCCAGTTATTTCCCTTCCGCGGGCCGGACATGGCCCGCGGGCCGCCTATTGCCAACCCCTGTTATATACAGTGGAATCCGCTTAATTGGGACACATTGGTCGGGGGTCTCCCTAGTTATTCCTAACCTTTTTGCTACTACAGACTAGTGATGGTAAACTGCTATTTATTTATTTAGCAATAGCTATTGCTATTGCTAAAGTAAAATAGTAGTGATAAATAGCAGCTATTGCTATTTTTTTTAAAACAGCTAATAATAATATGTTATCGTATATTTTCTATTTTATTAGCAACTGCCAGCTTATGGCCTAATGCTATTACTATAGCAGTTAGCAAATAGCAATACCAAATAAGCTGTAAGATGAATAAATATTTAATTTACCATTCCTATAATATCTGCTCTAGGCCTTGTAGGCGGGCAACAAAGGATTTTACCTGGGTTTTGAGTGTGTTGATGTCCGATCTTGTCTTAAAAATAACAAGTGTAGCCAAGTTATTGAGTATAATTCAGCTGAGTTAGATACTAAAGTTAAGTCTAAGTTGTGAGACAATAGTTGTTAAAAATACTTTTAACTCAGCAAATTTAAAGCTAATATGGAAAAAAATATTAACTTGACTCAGTTAAAAAGAAATTAATTAATTATATGTAACTATCATTTGGGTCACACATAATAAATAGTGATTTCAGTACAACTTTAAATTGTATTAAATTATGACTAAACACAAATATTTTATTAGAAATTTATCCTATTAATACAATTTATTTGCATAATTGTACTTAAATAATGGCATATAGCATCATTAGACAAAAAAATAGTTCAATTAAAACACAATTATTAAGTTTATTGTAAAATTATGTTAAATATTATGTGTGAGTTTAAACTAGTTAAACCCTAAATACTAGTTAAATGAATGAAAAAATAAGTTAAAAATATAACATAATAATATAGGGAATAACATTATATTATAAGTATATAATATATATTATTTTTTCATACATATTAAACATAGTAAAAAATGCAAACAATACTAATCCACTTTTAGGCAAGAATTAACACGTTAACTCAAATATCAACTCTTAGGCCTACAAAACAATTCATGTGATTGAATGTGCACATTCTACCCCTGTACATCATCGTTGCATATTGCATTGTCTGTGGTAAACACTGATACTTATACTGATTTTCTAGTTCTTCTGTTCAGTTATTTGTATTTAAAGTGATTAAATATTTCAATATGAATCGTAAGACAAGTGACAATTTATATCAAAATATTTTAGCTTATATGATTCAAAAAGGTTTTCACATAGGTCATTTTTTTCATAATTTAAATATATCATGCTGAAATCTGCTGTCACATGAAATTTGGAACACCCTGTATATCCTATGTATCACTCCCCCTCTGTCCATAACAAAAATTAAACTAATATTGAAATCGATTTCATTAGGCACTGAGACAATAATAACGGTTTATGATTATCTGTATTCTGTGTTGTTGTTAGGTTACGGCTGCGGGTCGAGTCACTTGCATTCGCGTGTGTGTGTGTGTAAAATACAATATTCAAAGGCGATCTAATTTTATGATTTATTAATAAATTAGGATAGCGTTCATCGTATACCGCTGTTTATAATAATAGTCACGATAACAGAACACCATACATTGAACCTACTTCTTGAAACACAAATATTATTTAGTTCAATTTACGCGTTGCGTTTGTCGTTCGTCGATAAATTATTATAATTATTCGTATTCGTAGTCCGTCGTGTCTGTAGTGTTAAAACTTATTAATTTATAAATATTATTCGTGTGCAATCGAGTATGTTTTCAAAAAACGTAAAATTGACAATGAAAACAGAAAGTTTCTGGCTGAGTGGACCGAACAATATTGTTTTACACTTCCAGTAAAAGCTGGAGCTGTTCCAGTTTGTCTTATATGCAATAGTACAGTTGCTGTCGTTAAATGTGCTAATTTAAAGCGTCATTATGATACAATGCATAAAGATTTTGAAAAAAAATTTCCTCTTGACAGCGCAGCGCGTAAAAATAAGCTCCAAGCGTATCTCCTGTCTTATAAAAATGGTACAACTATGTTAGTACAAAATATGAGTGGGCAAGAAAAGTCAATAGAAACAGCATTGCGTGTTTGCTGGGCGTTAAATAAACACCAAAAACCATTTACAGACTCAGAAATTGTAAAAGAGTGTATGTTGGAAATAGTCACTGCACTTTTTGAAGAAAAAAAGGACATACTTAATGCTATTCAAAGTATTCCTCTATCAGCAAGAAGCAATACAAGAAGAACAGAACTATTAGCCGATGACAACAAAAATAATTTAATTCACATTTTACAGATGGCTCCTTGCTACGCTATTGCAATTGATGATTCATGTGATATTGTTGATTCTGAGTAGATGTCAATTTTTGTGCGCTTTTTAGACGTTGAAAGTAAAGTATTTAGAGACGAGTTGCTAGCATAATTGCCATTGAAATGCAAGACTCGTGGAGAAGATTTGTTTAAAACTCTTGACGACTTCATGACTAAATCAAATATTAGTTATGATAAAATTGTGTCTATTTCAACTGATGGCGCATCGACAATGATTGGTAAATAAAAGAGATTTGTTAAGAGAATCAAGGATAAGAATGTTGAAATACTTTCATATCAATGTATAATACATCAAACATCCCTGCGTGGCAACTTAGTACAACACTGAAGGAAGTAATGGACATAATGATCAAGTTGATTAATTTTTTGAGGTCCCGATCTGCTCTTCAGCACAGGCAGTTTAAAGATTTTTTATTTGAATGTGATTCAGTGTATTTGGATTTACTTCAACATAACAATGTCCGTTGGTTAAGTAAAGGCAAAGTGATCGAACGTTTTTGGAGTATAAAAGAAGAAGTAATCACGTTCTTGGTAAACTTGGATTCAGTAGAATCAAAGCAGTATCATATATTCTTAACAAATGAGAGCAATATGCTATCTGTGGCATTTTTAAAAGACATTCTTGGATATTTAAATGTATTTAATACTGAGTTACAAGGGCAAAAAAAGTTAATTTGTGATCTGATATCAAGTGTATCTGCTTTCCGACGAAAACTTGAAATCTTTGAAGAAGATATAAAAAATCAAGATTTTATTCATTTTCCAACAATCCTAGTGTTGCGTCAGTGAGCCTCTCTAACACCTATCGAGGTTGTTACTGATCACACGGTCCTCCGGAACCTCGGAAGTGATGGGGGGAGCTTACGTTGTAATTAATTAAAAGTACCAACAATAATATTTAAGCGAAATATATATGTATTACAAAAAAATAACATAAGGAGAGCACCATTAACAACATATGTATATATATGGGGGGGAATGGGGAGCACCACCCTGAAGAGAGCTGGCTTTGATGACGGTCTTCAATGAACGGAAGTTGATCTGCCTTCCTTATTGAGCTGTGGAAAACTCCGGAGCTGGAACCACGCGGATGTCGGAGAGCGCCGAACTGCAGTATACGCGAATACGGATCACGCACACGTATACGCGTTATTGAGGAGCGGAGCACGAGCGAACGGTGAAATCGAATCGGATAATCACCTTAATATATTACAACAACCAATTGACACAAGAGCTATATGCAAATTATGAGCAAATTGCAAAACACGAGAGCACGTGAAAATAACGGGCGACGGAGCAGAACGCGAACAAAAAACCGTTGGCGGCGGCGTCCGCATTATTACCCGAACCAGGGCGGCGGGCGCAACAGTGTCACCAACATTAGGAGTGACCGAGCGCGGTCGTGGATCATATGTCCAAGACCCGGGGCAACGTGAAGTGGGTACAATGGATAAACGGATCGAACACCTAGAATATAAAAAGACTTCGACATAGACTGCAGTATGTTTTTAAGTTTTTAATCGGACCTTGGTGAAGAATTTGGTAAGAGATTCAAAGACTTTGCAGAAATTGGAAAACTGTCTCATTTTTTAAAAAATCCGTTTGAAGTTTCTCCGACTGGAGAATAAATTGACGTTAATACAAAATTATTCAAACTTCCAAAATCTTCACTTTAAATGGAAATTATTGATTTGCAAGAAGATATCTCATTGCAAATGAATAAAACTTCGTCTACTGAAGATTTTTGGATAAAGCATGTCTTGGATAAATACATGAACTGTAAAACCCTTGCCATAAAATTAGCTACTATGTTTGGCTCCACTTTTGTATGTGAAACTTCGTTTTCAAAAATGACATTTTTAAAAAACCGATACCGTTCAAGATTAACAGATCACCACCTTGAAAACACTTTACGCATCAGTTGTTCTCCAAGAGTACCAGATTTTAAAAAATTAGCTCAAGGAAAGAAATGTCATTTTTCTCATTAATACAATTTTGTTATTATTAGTATGAATGTATAATTACTTTATAAATAATTAAATACTTTGTCTTAAAATGTGTTTTTAATACAAAAATAAATACATTAATGATAAAATTAAGTTTAAGATTTTTTTGGCCCTCAAAATTTTTTTTTTTTAAATATTTGGACCGCCATTTAAATTAATGTCCGACCCCTGGTATATAATATTACAAGTAGTAGTACCCACAAGTAGATTGCTACTAGTCGGGACTGATACATTACTAAATGGCTGAGAGTGAGTTACGGCTTGGGCTGAGGGTGAGTTGTGGCCCGACTTGTCGTTTCCGGTGTTGATGATCGGTGAATTGCAGCCCGGTAATATTTTAGATATAAGTTAGTTGCGGCCCGAGTAGTTATCATTACACCAGTTATATATATGTTACGGGCAAAGTAGACTTTCGGGCAATGTGAACATTGCCCGGTCTATGTATACTTTGCCCGCTGTTTTTGGGCAATACATTAAAATACTATTTTGACCGGGCATGGTTATACTTTCACCGGTCCAAGTATACTTTGCCCGTAGTAAATTAGACATTGTAACTTAAACTATCAACTATAATATTATGAAATCATTGTCTGTTAGTATTTCAAATACCTATACTAGTATGAGCCACGAGGTACCAATATACAAAACTCTCAATATTATCTCGTCAATTATCGTAGTTTCAAGATTATATTATCGGTAAATCGGTTTTACCTTTTAGATATTGTACAATAATTATTATCGCAATCATTGAATCGTACAACGTATGAGTTGTTAATACCATTGAATACAGCGCAGTTGAAAGTCGTTAGTAGGCATCGTCGTAGTGTTAGTGTAGTGTTCGCTGTATAAACGTGTGCGGTATTTAAACTAAATTAATTGAAATGGAAGGGCAATATTTAAAAAATCTAGAAATTGCATTAAAAAATAAAAATGTTAATAGTACATATTTAACTAAAACTAAATACGATGAATTAATATCTGAAGTAAAAAAACTTAAACTGAAATCAAGAGGCCATAAACTTTTGAAAAAATATGATGTAATAACAGTATCTGACGTGGAAAAATTAATTGTTCCAGTGAGTAAAGGTAATGATTTTAAGTACTATGTTTTTAATGAAGAATTATTTAATGTTATTCATGATACTCATTTAATTATCGGTCATGGTGGACGAAACCGTATGGAATATGAGCTTAATAAAAAATATAAAAATATTACAAGAGAATCGATTATGTTATATTTAAATCTATGCATATCTTGTCAAAAAAAAGGCAGTACTGCAAAGAAAGGTCTTGTTGTAAAACCAATCATCTCAAATGAATTAAATTCTAGATGTCAAATTGATCTTATAGATATGCAAGCACAACCTGACGGAAACTATAAATTTATTTTAGTGTATCAGGACCATCTAACAAAATTTGTTTTGCTTCACCCATTAACGCATAAACGTGCCGAAGAAGTGGCTTATGTACTTCTTGATATTTTTACAACATTTGGCGCACCAGCGATTCTACAAAGTGACAATGGCCGAGAATTCGTAAATAAAATAATAAACGAATTATGTAATATGTGGGAAGATTTAAAAATTGTACACGGAAAACCAAGACATTCGCAAAGTCAAGGGTCCGTCGAAAGGGCCAATCAAGATGTGGAAAACATACTTGCCACTTGGTTACAAGACAATAAAACAAAGAAATGGAGTGAAGGACTAAAATTTGTTCAATTTATGAAAAATCGATCATTACATCATGGAATAAAATGCAGTCCATATGAAGCAATGTTTGGATGTAGCGCTAAAATTGGATTAAAATCATCGGCACTTCCAATATTAATAATTAATAATTTAAAAACTGGAGAAGATTTAGAGGAGGCTATTACATCATTTACATCCATGAATACTGGAGATCATTGTGAAGTTGATGAAACATTAATTGAAGAAAAAATAGATAATAGAATAAATAAAATAATTACTGTAAGAACAGAGTCAGTCGTAAATTTAAAAATTCAAGCTAATCGAATGAAAGAAGAATCCGAAAAAAGATTTTGTGATGCAAAAGTGGGTGAAACCGTCAAAATCAAAATACCTGATGTAGACAGAGCTCGCAGCGACCTTCGTTGTATTCTTGGAGTTATCCTAGCAGGTAAAACGCGAATTTTATTATACATTTAAGTATAATACACATCATTTTAATATTTTAATTTATTATTTTAGTTCATGACAATAACTATAAGATAGGAACCACCGAAGGAAAGTTGGAACACACATAATATAGTCGTAACCAGTTTATTACGTGCAAAGAAAAATTGATAATTGCAGAGGAGGTGCTTGATCTAACAATTACATTACGAGAAGCAGCGAGGAAATATTCAAATTTAGGAGGACAGGGGTTTGATAGGTGTAATTGTACCCAACAATGTTCAAATAAAAAATGTAAATGTAAAGCGGCAGGGAAAAAATGTAATTCGAAATGCCATTCAAATAATAATTGCAAAAATAAATAATTAATATGATGATATTTATGTATTGTTTAATGTAATTGTGATAAAAAATGTAATGATAATTTTAAAAAATAAATAGTTAAGGTAATAATAATAATATTCAAATAATAAAGTAATTAATAAGATTGATAAGATTAGAAAGGTTTATAATTATAACATAAGAACTTGGTTTATATTGCCCCTGCTAGACTGGGAAATTCTAACTAGTCTGGGTAATGTATAATTTTATCTACATTGCCCATCATAATCGGGCAGTACCATAATGCCCGGGCAATGTAAACATTGCCCGAAAGTCTACTTTACCCGTAAAATATACATAACTATAAATGAAAGATTCGCTATGTATATGGGAAGTTATATTTTTATGTAATATAGATCGGGTTTAGGACATTTCGCCGCGACCAATTCGCCACAGCCATTTCACCGCGACCGTTTCGCCGCAGACCCTCTCGCCCCCACACCGTTTCGAGCAGACTATTCGCCGCCGGACTATTCGCCACAGTCGTATCGCCGCCGGACTATTCGCCGCAGTCGTATCGACGACGGACTATTCGCCGCGAAGAGAATCTCCCCACGATATATTAAAGATTAATATAGAACAACGCTAAGAACTTTGCAATTACTTTGATATGTTCCTCAATTTAAATCAAGTACATTTTATTACCCCCATTGTCTCACACTTGAATTTGCAGCTTTAATTTCCGTTTGTGCATAAGCAGCCATGCGTTGCTTGTACACTTTGGGCAGAAGTCTTTTTTAGAGTGCATTTATACGTAATAAACACATTATTGTTCTTAAAAGTTGTAATTTTCATTTAAAATAACACCCTGAACTTGGATCTGATATTGGCACACAACAATTGGCACTAATATGTTTTATGTTTATAATAAGTACAGTAGAACCTCATTAGTCCGGACTTCGCTTAATCCAGACACCCATTTATAATACGTAAATTACGCTAGTTTATGTCGTAGATTAAGATAAACAAGAAAACGAGTTCTACAAATATCCTATAGATGTAGGTTATTTCGATTACATATTTATCACATAGCTTATGCCATAGATTAGAATAAACATGAAAACGAATTCTACAAATTTCCCATAAATTCGGATTATTGCGATTACTAATTTATCAATATCAATAGTCATTAATGTTATCCATATTATGTACAGTATACGTATAAGCGTTAGTCGGTTTTTTGATACGCTTCGGAGTGTTTCGTGCCTATATCGTTTCGTAATTTATACTTTATCCGTAAATGATGTCGTTAAGTAAACCTAGTCAAGGTAAAAAGCGTAAGCATATGTCTCTTTCTCTTAACGAGTGTTGCGTCCGTTATGTCAACGTCGATACATATATCAACGTAGAAATAGAAATACTAATGTTTGCAAGTTAAAAGATTAAGTCTTTATTTAATACAATTAACTCGTACAAGAATACAATTTTATAAGCACAAGATGGTGTGAGTGGTGTTACGACCTGCCTCTGAAATACTGATAGACGAGACCGTGAGTGGTGTTACGACCTGCCTCTGAGCGTCTCGAATATCCCTAACCGTCTGCTGAGCTCTTGCCCTGGTCTCCCTTATATATGGTTAACCGTCAAGAGTGGTGACTGAGGAGGTGGTGACTTCCGATGACCTAAAGGAGCTCTCTAAATTAAATGTATTATTCAGTTGGGTGCCTTTCCTGCGATTTCATCGGTTCTAAGAATTACAAGACGTGTGATCAAGTCTTGATTGTCATATTAAATAGTACAATGTTAACACTATCGTTTACTCATCATTTCTGAGAAGTCCAGGACGTGTGATCATGTCTTATTCATTATATTAAATATCACGATGTGCAGGTGATCGCCATAGCCGTTCGATACTACACTGTTTGAATATGTTATTCCATCGGTATACACATCACCTCTTCGTATAATATATATGTGTAAAATAACACGGTACGTAACACGAGAAACTCTGTGTAATAGAAAAACTCGAATAGGGAGCGTCTGTGTCTAGCATTTGTGCGCAATATGGGATTGCCAAACAAACCATCTCGGACATAAGAAAGAAAAAAGACGATATAAGAAAATTTGTTCTAAAATTTAATGTAGAAAAAGAAACAAGTGTTGTAAAAAGAATGCGGTTGCCACTAGATCAATTCCTTGATGATGCAGTTTACAAATGGTTTTGTCAACTTCGCTCTTCCGGATTGGCTGTCCGTGGAGTTGAAATTCAAGCTGCAGCGGATAGATTAGCTAAACAGTTGAACATAAATAACTTTAAAGCCAGTTCGGGATGGCTGTTTAGGTTTAGAAGGCGTCACAATATAACAAATAAAAAAATATGTGGTGAAAGTCTTAGTGCCAACAATGAAGCTGTTGAGCCATTCAGGAAAAAATTGAATGACATTTTAAAAGCTGAAAACATACTACCTTCGCAACTGTACAACTATGACGAGACAGGGTTATATTGGAGAGCATTACCAGACAGTACCCAAGCGTCCAAAGCTGATAAAAACACGCCCGGTAGTAAGATTAGTAAAGATCGAGTTTCTGCATTACTGTGCGCTAATACTGACGGAAGTCATATGTTAAAGCCTGTGATTGTTGGGAAAAGTAAACAACCACATGCAATAAAAAATATTATGGACTCTTTACCAGTTCACTACTACAACTCGAAAAGTGCGTGGTTTACTTCAGACATTACAATAGATTGGTTTCACAAAAAAGCAGTGTGAGAAATTAGAAAATATCAAACAGAAATTTTGAATATTCCTGACGACAAAGTGAAGGCCTTAGTTCTACTAAACAATTGTCCAGCACATCCACAAGTTGAGCAGCTTACTAGTGGTGATAAAAAGATCACGTGCATGTTTTTGCCAGCAAACACAAATTCTCTGATTCAGCCTATGGATCAAGGCGTCATCTACACAGCCAAACGTCTATACAAAAAGAGGCTTTTAAATGAAATTTTAGAAGTCGAGGAACCAGCTACCGGAGAAGAGGATAGAAGAGGTAATAAAACGTTACAGAATCTCAAAGATATAAAACAATCAACTTTGATTAACTCGTGGAAAAAACTTTTAATAAATGAAGATATTGAACCAGATACGACTGAATTAGAAACAGAGGATTTTCACAACATTTTCCACCAAGGAGGTGAGAATTCAGCTACACTGGAAGACATTGAATAGTGGCTAAAAGCAGATGAATGTGATCTAGGTTATCATATTTTAACAGAGGAGGAGATTGTTGAAAGTGTGACCGCTGCAGAAAGTTCTGAAACGGATGAATATGATCAGGATGAAGCAGACGATAATGTGAACCCTAAGCCAAAACTTGGCGAAATTAAAGATCATCTAAACATTGTCATTAAATACGTTGAAGATAACAACAATGAAATCATATCTGCGTATTATGAACATTTAAGGCATCTTCGTGAGTTAATCAATAAAGAAATCAATGTGAAAGAAAGACAGCCAAAGATTAGCAGTTTTTTTAAACCAGTAAGCGTGTCAAGTGTGAATAATGAAGGTGAGCCTTAATATGTACTGTATTAAGTGTGTAATGATTTTAATACAATTATGTATCATGTATTTTTAGGTTAAATATTGTAAGACATACATATGTATTTATATTCAGTTTGAAATTTGTATAATAAATTAATATCCAATGCATTTTTTTTTTAATTTATAATTTACGATTTTTGGTTATTTTGTTTAATCCGGACTTTCAATAATTCGGACAACCTAGAGCCCCGTATAGTCTGGATTAATGAGGTTCTACTGTACATACAATTACCCAGTGCCGTAAAAACCGGGTGTGCAGAGTGTGCATTGCAGACGGGCCACGGGCCTCATACTAAATTAAGGGGCCCCAAAGTCAAAAATTCATAAAATCTTATGACATAAAACAATATCAAATATTTATTATTTATTTAGAAATTAAACCAATGTTATTTACTTATAATATACACTGTGGCCCTTATCGAAATTAAGAAGTAAAATTATAGCTATTTTAGTCTGGCTTTTCGTTATTATGTTATTATTATTATTATCATATCTATTAATAGTTTTGGTATAGTAACGTATTGGCTGCTTATCGGCTGGAATTTCTAATACTGCCGTTCTCCCTACCCTCCCATTCATACTAAAACGCATCCAAACTATTTGTATACAGCAGACTACTTGCTTTTGCTCTATTTTGAATGCGCATCGGTGTTAATGTTAACTTTTGAATTAAGTCCTAAGTAAACTCTAGTAAAGCATGTACCGTGTATTTATATTTTATTTATAAGTTCTTTCAATTATGTCAAAAAGAACATTTTTGATTGGTTGTGAAAAACGAAAAATAAAATGTAAACGACAGGAAGAAAATAAAAAAATTGTCAAGTTCCTTACTTTGTTGGACTAAAAGTAAGTTATTTTATAATCATATTTTTGTAATTTAAAATATTAAATGGCTAAGTTATTACCTAAGTTATTACTTATTACTAATCAAAAGTTTTAACCACTGACTAATTAAATATGAGTAGTTGACTTTAAATAATTATATAAAAAAATTCAAAATTGTATACCTATCTATGCTTTTTCTACAGTTTTATTCTGTGTTTTAACAATACTTTAACTGTGTTCACCTATGTTTTTAAAATTCTTACTATACCTATTTATTTTTAATTTTAAATATTCATCAACTAGTTCAGGATGATGGACATACATTAACATCAAAATAAAAAATTGATTACTGATTCTTTTTCAAAATTGTAACTAAATTACTC